TTTTTTCTGTAGCACTTTGAGGATTACTGTAGCTTCTTTGTACACAAGCTTTGTCATCATTGCTCAATAGTAGCTTTTCCCCACTGTTTGTGTCATGAGACATCTTATCTTTAACCACCCTAACAAACTACTACTGGGAGATTGACCTCTTCCTCTAGGTAGGTTGGTTGGTTTTGATTGTGCAGCTCTTAATCATTGAGGACCCAAGTTAGTTCTTCTTTAGAGACATGCTAGTCCATTGTATTAAGTGCTGCTAGCTACTTAGTTTGCCCATTTTTAAACAATCATTGCGTTTGAAAAGTGTTACAAGAATCACTTTTGAGTGGCATTCCCAACTCTATGATCGTAGTTGTGTGGGGAGAAATTGAGGGTTTTGATGAAATATATTGAGCAAGTGATGTGAAAAACATGGTGTATTTTTAGCCCTAGAGAAGTGAGTTTTATGGCAACAACACCACACTTACCGGCAGACAACATCCGCCGGTAACAGTTAAAGTACGCTAGAAATTTTCATTTTCCGGCGTATTTCCGATGAAAACACATCTAACGGTAATTTGCGTGTCGGAAATATTAACCAGCGCAATTTTACTGTCGGAAAATTTTTTGGCGGCTTTTCTGGCATATTTCTGGCGAAAAAATGGATGCTAATACGTCGTTTTCTTTAAGCGAATTTCGGCATTTAATCCGTCAGTATTTCCGGCATATTTGAACGCCAGAAGTACCGGTGAATAAACCGCCGCCCTGAGCTGTCGCAAAACTATTGAATATAAGTTTATTTGGACATCATTTGGGCTGAAATCGGACCGGACAACGAACAAATTTATAATACAAAATAAAAAAAATTCACCCAACTAGCCCAAATTCGTAGCCCAACTAGCCCAAATTTGTGGCCCAACAAAACTCAATTTAATGGCCCAATAAAGCCCAAGCTCACATAGCATTCATGTACTCTTTTTTAGTCCCACATCATGAAGGAGTAAGAGATAGTTGGCTTTTGGCTCTATATATATTTCCCTATTCTCTAACAAAACTTATTCCATGAGGTGATAACCAAGATTGTCGAATTTTGATATCATTAAGATAGTCGAATGCCCAATAAATGGTCCATGATCAAGGGATTCAACATCGGCCGTCCATTCAAACCACTCCCAATTTACCCTTGATCTTCCTCTTATTTATAGGTCATGACACTCTCAGAAAATTATAAATAGACTCCTCATTTCTCATGGAGGGAGGAGGAAGGACGAAGAAGGGACCCAAGCAAGAAGAAGAGGAAGGAGGAGGCCCAAGTAAGAAGAGAATGAAGAGTTCTCTTACCACCAAACTCCTCCTTGGCCACGTCCCAGTCACCGAACGATGCCAAATTTTCACCCGTTGCCGAATTTCTACTCGACGTTGGACTTCCACCCGTCGCCGGACTTTCGCTTGTCGCAGGACTCCCATCGTACTTCAACCCGACGCTGGACTTTTTCTAGTCATTGGACTTTTGCCCATCGCATACTTTTGTCATACTTCTACCCAAAGCCGAACTTCCGCCCGTCGCCGGACTTCTACCCGTCGTAAGACTTTTACCCGACGCCAAGCTTTTTCCCGTCGTCGGACTTCTACCCGACCCCGAACTCCGCCCATCGCCAGACTTTTTCCCATCGTCGGACTTCTACCCGGCGCCAAACTTCATCCCGTCGTCGGACTTCTACCCCACCCCGAACATCCGCCCGTCGTCGGACTTCTACCCGATGTCGAACTTCCTCCTATCGCCAAATTTCTACCCGACATCGACTTCCGCCCGATAATGGTCTTTCTGACCTCTATTGCCAGACAACGGTTTCCGATCTCCGTCACCCACTGACTACGATCGTTCCGACCTCCATCGCATGTCGACTATGGTCCTTCCGACCAAACAAACATGTTATGCTTCCTATTTCCACCATGTAACACACTCTATATGATTTATATGTGTTACATCACGCCAAGGCCATCCCTTCAATGAAGGGCCTCATTTGCAATCAACTGCAAATACTAGTGGATTCATTCAAACTGGGCTAGGCTCCGTGGTTTTTCCCTTTTTTAAGATTTTCCATGTAAAAATTTGCGTCTCTTATAATTGTTACACCCTATCTCTTATTTGATTGTGTGATGAATTTTCGTACAAAGCTAAGACGTTAAACTTATATTTCTCTACCCCATGAATATTGCAGGACGCAACAATAGGTAATCGATTTTAGGATCCCACAATGACAATATAGATTTTAGAAGTGAAGTAGCTCCTACTATGGGAGGGCGTCAAGTAAGCGCATTTGGTCAGATGATCAACGATGACCGTGATTGCAATTTTGCCTTATCGCGTGGGTATCACAATGACAAAGTTCATTTTTAGATCACCTTGAGTATCATCCGAAATTGGAAGTGGTTACATCAGGCCTGTAAGCAAAATATGTGGTGTTTATTGACAGTTGAAAGGATAAAGGCTAATTCATGGTTAGGTGGAGATACTTGGGGACTCATCGTGTGAAGTCAACGTATTTGAAATGGTCATGAGGTCAGGTAGTTCTGTTTGTTGGTCTTAATTTCTAGTTAATAGTGCAAACAATTTTTCTTTACAAGTGTGACGTGTATGAAACGTTTCAGTAATATCAATACCTATCATATAATTTTATGTCTATCAAGGAAAATCTCATGATCATCCCTCTTAGAATCATGCTTCTAAAACCTTCCTATAAATTGTTGAAATATTAGTGGCATTCCTAAGTTGCTAATTTCATAAGTAAATTTATGAATAACTTAATTGCCTTCAAGTCCAAGATTATATTTGCTCGTGTATATTGAACAATTTGCTTCGCTTCTTTCTTGTCCAACTTCTTTTTAACTTAGACAGGAACTCATTAAACTTTGGTGTGGTATATAACTAAAATCTATCTCTTGCTTTTTATGGGACTCCTTGTAAGCATCTTCTTATTATTCTACTCGTTCCAAAAGATCCAACTGTACCCTTCATGGAAAGAATTGAAGCTACCCAAGAACCAAAAATATGACAGATTTTGCATGCTCAAAACTCACAATCTTTCATTTTGCTCTATTCTAATAATTTTAACTCATTTACTACTGAAGATTCTGATCCTTGTGAATCTTCTTCATCCATCCTATAGCAATCAGGAGCAATTCCCCCAACTAATTCACAGTAGACCTGTCAATATTGGACCCTATCCGAAAATTTTGGGTTTGGGTTGACCCAAATCCGAAGCGGGTCAGGTTCGGGTTGACCCGAGAATCCTAGAATAACCCGAAATGACCCTGAATGCACATAAACCCATCTGCCCGGAATGACCCCACCTGCTTCCCGGCTGCCCCGCCTACCCTGATGTGTCACGTCACGTTGCGTCTGAGGCCATGTCATATCGAGTCTCGAAGCCATGTCTCGTAGCGTCCAGTGTCAGTCGTCGCCTCGCCGGCGTCCAGTGTACATGTTAGTCGCCGCCTCGCTGGCATCCGAGGCGGTTTCACGTCACATTGCATCCCGAGGCCATGTCGTGTTCGCGGGTTCGGTCGGGTTGACCAGAACCCAAAGTGGGTCGGGTTCGGGTGCCCACTTTTGTGTCCGCGGGTCGGGACGAGTTGACCCGAAGCGGGTCGTGTTCGGGTCCAAAAAATCGACCCGTTTGCAAAAATGAGTAGGTCGACCCGATTGCAAAAACGGGTCGGTCGACCCGAACCCGAATAGTGCCGGATCAGTTTCAAGTTTGACCCGAACCCAACCCGTAACCCGAAATTAACACTCCTAATTCATAGCATATCGTGGCCTCTATCACCAACTAATAAAGCAATGCCACTCAATACTTAGGGCTTCAGTTCTTTTCTTAAAACTTGTCATCACCTCATCTGTGTAGTCATCTCTCTATTAGAACTCATCATCACTTCATCTACTTTCATCACTATACCTTTTTTAAGGATAAAAATTGAAGTGATTAGTGATAATGATTCCTCCTTTTTAGTAATACAAAACGTCCTTTTAAAAGACTATTGAAGTCCTTTTTCTCTTGTATTTCACCCAAATTACTTCTTATACCCTCTTTTTTTAATATAGCATACTCTTTTCTTCCACCAGAAAAAGGAAAAGTCAAAAACATCCACATTGCAGCCTACTTTTTTGTTTTTGAGGTTTTTGTTGTATTATACATCAGCTACACTGCCTTTGAATTTCTTAAGACAATTTGATTGTATAATAACCACCAAATTTATTTTCTATATTGTTAGATGTAAATAAAAAATAAATTTAAGGCAGATATATCAATAGCAGGGACAGTGCGAATGCCACTAAACCGAGTGATGGTAGTTTCCTAGTAAAGAAGTGATTATAAGGGGGGTTATTACAGGAATATGAATTTCAAATCTAGCTTGTAGACTAGAACAAATCATTGGTTGGGTGATATTTGCATGCATTTTACTAAAGCAGGTGAACTACTGCAAAGTAGAACAAACGATTGCTTTTCCAACCACCTTAGACCATCTCCAACGGAAAATCGTATTTTTCACTCCAAAATGTCGTGAAACTTAAAAATGCCGCGATTCATCTCCAATGGAACTCCATTTTGAGAAGGTAACGATCTTTTTTTTTTTCTTTCGCGCGCTTCTTGTCAAGTTCGGTAGACCGAGAAAAATAGAGATAATGAACAGTTCAACGTCAATATTGGCGTCATACTGTTCACCCGCATGGAAATAGAAAAAGTTTCACCATTCGGCTGGAGCTCGGAGGCGACGGCATTCAAGCATTTGGAGTTCCGTTGGAGATGCCCTTAGGCTAAAACCTGTATGCATGATCATAAATTCTTCATATTCTGCAAATATGGATAGCTGAATAAATAAAAGCTACCTGGAATCTTCGAGATAGAATTCTTGATTCATCTATTCAATAAGGTAGCGTAGGTTTAATATTTCCCACGCCAAGCTAATCATGTCAGATAATGATCACGAACATTGCAACAGTTACACTGTAGGTTTCCACATAAGGAACAATAATACTAGTAGTTCCACTAAAAATAGGACTTCCAGAGGAATCAAAAAATATTTTACAATAAGAATTGGAGGGCTAGTTCTTCTAATAAACAATTCAACAATCCTCCAAATATTTAATGTACACGATTAAAAAAGTGCCTTTTGTTCTATAATCAAGAAAACTTTCAAACCAAGTAAATCGTCTTATCTCATACAACGCAGCTCAAGGGATCTCATAATTTTAGGCTGTGGAAACTAAAGATGAAGTACTTGGCTATAACTCTTAAAAAAAGAGAGAAGGGAAAATTGAAAAATTTACAGACAGATTGAACAAAGTTCAACCGCTCTACATTGCTATACATGCAGGCATGAGATGAAATCAACAGTGAGCATACTCACAATCAAGCAACCTTGTGAGGATCTCCTGGCAACTAGGACGCTGGTTGGGTTCAGCCCAACAATCTACAAAAAATGCCGAGAAAAGAATTGGAGAATGTACTCAAAAAGCAAGCAAAGAATGGTAGATGGAAAGAGAGAAAGATTTTATTGAGGTATAAACCTGCGATAAGTTTTCCAAGGGGTCCCTCAGGTATCTCTAATCTTGTTCCTTCGTTGGCAACTGCATATACCACCTGAGCAAAAAAATTATAACATATTTATAACACATCACTGAAAAATGTGCCACTTTCAAAAGGAAGCCAATTTGTACTAAAGAAATACAATATCGAAGCATGTAAGCTTACTTGAACTGCTGGTACACCTTCCCAAGGCCTATTGAGTGTGCATAGCTCCCACATTATGACTCCAAGGCTAAAGATGTCACATTTTTCAGTGATTGACTCATTGCGGATGAGTTCAGGTGCCATCCATTCAGGAGTTCCAGCAGAAGATTCATCCTTCATAGGAACATCTTTCGTCAATCGTGAAAGCCCAAAATCACATATCTTCACTGTCCAGTGCTTATTCACTAGGCAATTTGCACTTTTTAGATCACGATGAACTATTTTCATACGGTGAATGCACATCAACCCCCTAAAAGGCAATGAACAATTATTGAAATAGCAAAAAAAAAAGGTTATTTATGATTCAAGTATGCGGTGATGCAGTTTGAAAACATAATAATCATTGAAGAAAGAAGATATGCATTGGCATTTTGCAGACTTCTAAACTTGAATGTGAGATTTCATATTCTTTATTATAATCCTACTTATCTTTGTTTATGTTATGAAATCATTGGTAAACAACTGTCATGGTTTAGACCCACCTGCAGATGTCACGGAGCATTTTCAATCTTCTACGCCAACTTAGTTTCTTTTTCTGGCCACTCAAGTGTATTAAATAATACAAAGAGCCCATCTCCATGTATTCAGTAACCATCGACAAATGAGGAGGTTTCATGCATGCGCCAAGAAATAATATAACTATAAAAACAAAATTCAGCAATTGTTGTAAGTATAGAATGCAGGAACATCGGGTGTAATGTTTCACAGAGAAAATCTTATGGTATGTGATAAAACTCAGTGGTAGGCAAATAAATAAATAACTAGCAGAAATATTTAACCATTCAAAACTTGAGGAGAGGCTAATACCATTTGGATGCCTGAGTCGGCTGCAAGAAAAGAACAAACAGTTACGGTCAGAAATAAACTTGAAAATAATGAACAAAATAATAACACAACAACAATCAAAATGAGATTAAACTAATATTCAAAATTGGTAGGCACCTGAGAATTGATATCTCATTGCAGAAGTCTTCCATGTTTTCAGTTGTCAGATCTTGTTCTAGAAAAACTTTGATGGCTACATCAGTGCCATTCCATATGCCACGGAACACTTCTCCAAAAAACCCTGTAGGTGATGAAACCAATTCAAAGGATAAAAAAAAGAGAGAAAGCTTGGAAGTCTAATCAAATGATCTCTTGCAACAAAATTTGTTATAGTTGAGAAAAATAAAAGTGGAGAGTACAACTAGCAATCCTCGGCCTTCTAAAGATTAAATTAAAACATAATTACCTATACCAACACGGGTACCCACGGTCAACTCTGAGAAATCAATGCACCATTCTTCAAAAGGTAGCAAAGGCTTATTTAAAAAATGAGACTGTAGAACATTGTTCCATGTTGATTCAAAATCTTCTGTTCTCAGAAAATGAGAAGAATCACTTCTCTCAGAGTCCTGTCCTCCAAATTCATGAGGCGATGAAGGTAATGACACTGCTTTCTGGGTGGAATTTGTTTGCAATCTTAAACTTACACTAAAATCAGTAGAAGTGCTTCCAGTTCCATCTTTCTGGCAAAATTAAAGTCAAATCCATCAATAAGCAGTGAAAATAACAGCATTGTCTTAATATATAAGAAGATGGACATCTCAAAATAGAAAAAGCATATAACAAACTAAACAGTAATTTTACATTCAACAAATAAAGACTGACATTAACATTGAAAGAAGGCAGAACCAAAAGTTCACAACAGCATGCGTTCAATTTAACTACTTCCACTATCATCATGCCTCTAGCACTCAAGCAAAACAGTTAGGAAAAATCCCACGTTCAATTAGGACTCTTAAATCCTGAATGTACTCTCACCATGAAAGGGTTAAAAAAAAATCATATTTTGGATCCCAGTAAGGAAGCATAATAATTTAGCAAGATTGAAAGGCCACCAACTATTTCAATAAATAAAAACGGGCTAATAATGCTGATGGGGACATCAGCAGCGATTTTGACACATGTACATCCAGGAGATGCCGGAGATCGACGGCCACGATCATGATCTGTATTTTCATCATTTAATGTAGTAATTTATTTTTATTTCATGTTTTTTCGTTTTTGCCCTTATGGGTATTTGGTGGTTATTGTAGCCCAAGGGGCATTTTAGTACTTTACTTTCTTTGTCATTTTGAGGCCTATTTATATGGCCCTTTTCTCATGTAATAGTTTTAGTTTTTGATGAATGAAAATTTTGACATTTCATGTTCTCTTTGTGAGTGCAAAACCTCCACGATCTCTTAATGAGTTCGTAGGAGAAGCTAGATCTCTTTGTGAGTTCTAGGTTCTAGTGTTCTTCCATTTTTCTTCTTTGAATTTTCTTGATCTCGTCGTCATCACGGTGGTTTGGGTGAAAGCATTTGTGGAAGGTTGGAATTCACTCTTTGGATCCCTAGATTTTCCCTACTTCTTCCCCTCCTTTGCTCTTTGCCTCCGCCCCTCCCTGGATTACCCAGGCCGCCGGCCTGCAGCCCCAAACCGCCGGCCAGCAGCCACCGGCAAGCCTTTCTTCTTTGAATTTTCTTGATCTCGTCGTCATCACGGTGGTTTGGGTGAAAGCATTTGTGGAAGGTTGGAATTCACTCTTTGGATCCCTAGATTTTCCCTACTTCTTCCCCTCCTTTGCTCTTTGCCTCCGCCCCTCCCTGGATTACCCAGGCCGCCGGCCTGCAGCCCCAAACCGCCGGCCAGCAGCCACCGGCAAGCCCAATCCGCCGGCCATCAGCCGCCGGCCATCAGCCGCCGGCCATCAGCCGCCGGCCAACCCACCAACTCGTCGGCCACCTTTCCCCCTTCCTGCCGCCGCCTCCTTCCCCTCCTATGAGCTTCAAAACTGAAATTCAAATGGTTATGAGCCATTAATTGTTTCCTAAAATTGCTCCCTAACTTACGCCATCAACTTAATTGATTTACAATTTCAAATTTGAAATTCAAATTGATTAAATTGATTCCCCTCATAATTGGAAGCTTCCTCTCCTTAAGAAAACTGAATTTCATTTCAGATTTTTAATAAAATCTGAAATTCAATTAGTGGTCCCCACCTCATCAAACCGAAACCCCCTCTCCCTTCTAGCTTGGCCGGCCACTCCTCCCTCTCTCTCTCCCCCCTATTAATTTTCTTAATTGCACCTTTCTAATTTCCTGTACGTTACTCCTCACAAAATGAATTGAATTCCTGATTGGAATTCCGGAATTGAGTGCTTCCCAGAGGCTGTAGACTCCTCGTCAGTTGCTGTTCAACCCGTCTCCCTCAATTCTCTTCTCAGGCAGATCTCATTCCCTTGGTTTCCAAATCCCAATTGCTCCTTCTAGCCTGTCCTCTCACATCCAAATCCTGGAATGTCCGTTCAATGGCTGCCATTAGCTATTCTCACTATTGGACAGTTTGTTCATTTCTAACACAGAATTCTCACATCCAGATTTTCAGATTTTGTGAGCTGAGATAAATCCAGATTTATTTCAGTTTTTGCAAGGAACAATTTCAGATTTTGGAGAGGAGATCCTCTCCGTAACGAAGCCGGCGTCCCCGTTCTACATCAGTTCGGCCATCATCCTCCACCACTCCGGCCACCTATCCAAGAACGACGATCTTAGGCTCCTTCTTCCTCGGAGTGACCTCGGTTCTAATGTGGAGACTCTTCTTCCGCTAAAGCCTAGACTAGTTGAGCGTATGGGCTCCAAAGGTGACAGTTCTCATTGTTAAATCATGGTTAGGTTGCTGTCCATTTATTTTCTGCACCTTTTAGTAGCTGTTTTGGCGAGATTTAGGTAGTATTCACCTGCTGTCCCCACTCTAGACTCCACCCAAATTTCTTAGATAATGTCGTCCATCACTCTAGTTTGCTGTCCCGTTCTTCCAACCGCCGTAGTTTGCTGTCCACACAAAATTCTGCAGTGTTTGGTAACATTTAAGTGAGTTTAACCTCGGATTAGGGTGCTGCCCAAGCCTTAGCATCTTCCCTAAACACCTAGTGACCTACAACCCTTCTTGAAGCTTACTGTCCAGTATTTTCGGTACCTTTTGGCAAGTCGAAATGGTGTTTTCCCTTTGTAGAATGTGGTACCTTGCACCCAATCTTCATTAGGTTTCACTTGACGCTTTTCAATGGACCCGATAAGACTCCAAAAGAGTTTAGATGACATCGTTAACCTAGTGGGCACTATGACTAGAATTAGGACGGAGAAACCTGTTGACTATCCCCACCGTTTCCCTCCTCTTAATTGTTCCGGATTGCTTCCCAAGTCAAGAACCTGGAATTGGAGTTTTCCCTCAGCTTTTCTCTTCCTTCACCAAGCGTGAAACACTTGCTGCTAAGACGTTCCTCCCCACACCGAGAATTGGATTTCCACTCAGATTTCTGAGAGAAAAGAAAAAAAAATGACATAAAATCTGAAGCATTTCAGATTCCCTTATGGAATTATTCAGCTTTTGTGGAAGGAATTTGGAGTTAATTTTCCTCTCCCTAGCAGAAATTGAATTTCTCTCAGGATTGGGAACAGTGCCCTTCCTCTGCTTCTTGATTGCTGATATTCCTCTCCGAGTTTGGGAGAAAAATCTGAACTGTGTCAGAATTCCGAAAAGGAGTTCTCTCAGATTTTTGGGAGGTTTTGGGACAAGAAAATTTCTCAGAATATTTTTTGGTGAAATCTGAACTTGCTCTCAGATTTTGGAGAAGAGACCCATTCATTAGCAATCATGCGTTTTCGTTTTACATCAAATGCGCATCCTAATAATATAATCAACCTAGAAGCATTTATAAATAAAAATAAAGTGTACGATTTACTAGAAAACTGAAGTTGATGAATTTCAAATAGATAAGCTATAGCCACAGAAAAGTAAAAGAGAACGATGCAGCCAAGGAATGAGAGACCAGAACTCAATAGTAAAGATCATCTTGCACTGCTTTGGTTGTGATATAGAACAAGACAAGTAGACCATTGCAGGAAGTAGTTGAACCAGAACAAGTCACATACATGCTTTGTTGGGCCACTAGAGTTCTCATTTACTGAGCACGAACCCAAGCGGTCGTCATGATGATCCCTCAATAGACGATTTTGCTTCAATGTTTCATTCATAGCACGAACAGCTCTAGAAAAAAAAAGGTAAGGTAAACGATTATATTAACATTTAGTAATTAACTAAAATAAAATTAGATTGCTATTTCAATTAATACTATAAAAAAAGATAAATCAGAGACCAAAATATATTGCACTATGACACTGTTACAGCGCATTTAATTCAAACCAGTGTTGAATTATATCATAAAATCGCAGTTGAAGAATAAAGAATATCAACAAATGGTGTGCTAAATTTCTGTTTTCCAATCATTGAGATTTCAGAATAGAATATGTAACCCCAACTAGGGAGATGAGCAGCCTCATGAGAAGGCAAAAGAACAGGAAAATTTCATGAATCCTTATGTAAGGCTAAAATAGTCCCCTTCATTTCAACAAACTGGCTATTAGACACCTTTTCTGTTCGATATGAGAAACGCTACAAAACTCAAAAGAACCAAATATCAACCAACGGAAATGAAATAACCAAAAATGCTCATTATCATTTTCGCATGTGAACATGAAATGAGGAAAAAAGAGTGCAATTTAAGAACCTTCTACTCAACTTTTAGCCAAATGGTTTAGCATTTGTAGTAGTCCTCTTTGAGTTCGTGCTTTAGTTCATTGTAGTTCCTTCCAGGATAGACATTCGGTTAGTTCATTTCATTCCAAGTAAACTTTCTTGACCAGACCTCTACTACTCTTTCTAGTGGTCTTCAAATGTCCATTGTGTAAGACATTGAACAAGAATATTACACATCATTGGAAGAAGAGGGAAGAAGAAAGGAGAGCAGGGCAATGAAAATTTTGATGTTTACCGAAAAGAGGAGGCAATAGCCTTGTTTTGCGTGTAGAGAAAGAGAAGTAGGGTTGCCAGAGTGCATGAAAGAAAAAAAGGACTTTTCAGTTTTAAAATCATCCCAACAATCCCTATCTCTATGTTTAAAGGGGCTGAATTACGCTAAAGATATGTCAAAAGATTTAAGACAAGAATTGGCAATTTTTAAAGAGTGTTTGTCATCCCTCCCCAGTTCTCAATGGACTGGGTATGCCCACCCAACTTCACCTAATCGCCATGTTCACAAATGAGACCAAATTGTGGTTTTCAAGAAATGGGTTAAAAAATGCAACAAATCCAAAACATAAAGAAACTTTTTGTAAACACAGAAATAGCATCACATTCCAACAATATAGCTTACATGCCCCAACATTTCGGAATGGAAAAGTCTTATCTAAGAAAAAATCAACCTGACAATATCATCACCAATCTCTGGTGTAATGCTTATGCTTCTCCTTCGTAACCTACGAACTTCAGATGTTGAAGAACCATCTGACCTACAGATAAAGGGGAAATCAATTAGATCCACCAGACATGCCAAGAAAGAGAATTTTACATTGTTTGCAGCTTATTTAAAAGCCTAGCACCCGTATCAAGAAAAAGGCAGCTTCTGAGTTTAAATAATGGACAGTATCACTTCCATATAAGGCATTAATGACTTTTTTAAATGCGTGTCTTAGCAAAAGCGGCTGAATAAAAGTGTTGCATTTCAAAAGTTAATCGTAATAATAGAAGTACATAATGAAAAAGAATCAGTCATAAAAAGCATATAAAAATTCCTATCCCACAACTCCACCGAACAACGTTACCCAAGTTGTATAAAGGTACCATGCAAAGGGGTATGCATAAAAGGGTGGATAACACACGAACAGTCTCCCAACCATTCCTAATTTCAATATTGTGATGATGAATATTTTTCTTCTTTTCAAATAAGACGCAGATCAATTGCAGGGGTTAATATTTAAATATTTGCTCAATAACAAAAACTACCCCCTCGAGTTTAAAAAATAATATTTCATAAATTATATGGTTTTCTCTAAATTACTTCCGTTCAATAACTGAAATAACGGAGAAAGCTATGTTGCAGGATAATCAAATCACGTGAAACTGCCAGGTCAAACATGAGACGGGATTGAAAACAGGATATAAAGTACATGCACACGATGCACCACAAAATAGAACATGGTGAGCGCAAGAACTTGAGGAACAATAATTTATTGAGAAGAACGCCATTGCAAGATAAACTTAATTAACTAATAAATAAATATAAAAACAAGCAACAGGAAGACAAAACCTTATCAAGAGTGAAATAGCCACCAACAACTTCACTTCTTTTTCTGACAGTAAATTTAAGCATACCTTGTGGGATGTCAACTTAAAAACTCTCAATCTCCTATTCTATACAAGCAGTCGTTTAAACAACCAGCAACTAGAAGGTTAGGGCCGCCCATTGATAATCCTTCATGAATAAATACCTAATAAATATTCACCTCGACTACACTGCTAACATCTGCTAGTGTGCTCTACCATTTCAACCCAAGATAAATCACCTCCATTGAAATCCATACATCTTCCAATCAATCCAGTCCTAGTAACAGCAATCTGGAGTAAAGACAGGTGCAGGAAAGCAGAAGCAATACATATATGAAGCAGCATGCAACATTCCATAGAAAACATGTTACACAATCAAATGTTGGAGAGTTTTGACTTATTTATATTATATTTATTTATTTATTTGTGAGAACGGGGAGGGTGGGTAAGTATAGCGAGAGAAACAGGCATGATCAAGCGCATGAGAACAATAAAACAATTGCAAAACTAATTACTGCCAATTATCTTTTGATTTCCTATTGTTAATGATATGTCAGGCTAGTTATGCATTAAATTACAATTTATAAAGGTTAAAATGCACTTTTATAGCAACGTAGCTTAATCCATGTATCCAAGTAAATCCACCATGCTTTCTTTTTTTGAGACTGTAGTTATGATTAGATGTTTTAACTACACTGAACTGCTTTATGGCCTGAAGAAAAAGCAAGATTCAACAACGTGCTTGTGCTTCACACAATTCCTAAAAACCAAATATGATTATTTGCATTTATTTTATAGCGTATAACAGTATCAAAACGTCTTCAAAACCCTAAGCTAGTAGGGGGAAAAAAAAAACTAAGCACTTGCATGGTTGGACTTCTCTATTTTTATAAAGTAGATCGGGTGTTAAAAGTTGCTTTATAAAGTACTAGCATAAATTTGTTCTAAAAGCAACTACTTCAAAAAATATTTATCAAAAAACAGATCAATTTTAATATCCAAATAATGCGCACATACAGGTAAAAGATCAACCAAATGAGATTAAAAAGTTCGCATCCTGAAACAGCAAACAAGTTATTTGGTAATTACCTGCTGTGCTGTCAACCTATTGCGCTAGGGAATAGCTGAAATAAGCAGAAACGAAAAACCAAATGCTTAAATGCCTTCCAAGGTTATGGTTTCTCAGACCTAAGTATATAGAAGAGCAAAAATATTTTTGCTATGGTAATATATACAACGTGGCATTATTTTTAGCTTTCCGAGAAGTTGATAAGGAGATTTATCTCCCCCAAAAATTTAGTATGATATAAAAAATAGTCAAATAAACTGTCATCATTCTTCCAAAAAAATTATTACGATATGATAGAAATGTTATCATAATGTTATCATAATATACAACAAAATTCAAGATGCAAATTTAAGGAACATTGGTCTCAAAACTAGATGATAACCTCCATCACAGTTTATTTCTGAATTTAGATATGGCACGGTCAAAGAATCCATATCTTTGTCCTATTTGTTATGAGATTCTTGCAAAGGTTATTGGGAGGGAGAGAGAGAGAGATGATCAAGAGCACGATAACAATGGAATAATTGCAAAATTGTTGCAATGCCAATTATCTTTTGACTTCCTTTATCTTTTTAATACGTCAGACTAGTTATTAATACAATTACAACTTATAAAGATCACTTTGCACTTTTATAGCCGTGTAGCTGAGTCAATGTATTCAACAAAATCACCCTGGAATTTGTGTATATTATTTAATAGATGTTTCATAGGAAAATAAATATTCTAAGCATTCAAGAAACTAAATGGGTTGGAGAGAAGACTAAGATGATTGATAATTTAGGATTTAAACTATAGTATTCTTGTAAGAGTCATACTAGAAATAGTATAGATGTGATTATAGATAAAAGTTTAAAGGATAATGTTGTAAAAATTAAAAGAAATTGAGATAGAATTACAATTTTAAAGATTATTAATATTATAAGTGCTTATGCTCTTCAAGTAGGTTTGAAAATAGGTTCAAAATTAAAATTTTAAAATGGCTTCGAAAAATTAATACAAAAGATACCTCTTGAAGAAAAAAAAAATTATTGGAGGAGATTTAAATGTACATGTTAGTAGAGAGGTAGATTATTTTAAAAATTCATGATATATATGAGTTTGGAGCAACTAATAAAGGTGGTAAGATCATATTAGATTTTTTTTTTTAACTTATGATTTTGTAATTGCTAATACATTATTTATGAAATAAAAAATGAACATCTTATCATTTATAAGAATTGATATAGTAAAACTCAGATTGATTATTTTCTTATAAGAAAAATACACCGTTTATATTGTAAAGATTATAAAGCTATATCAAGTGAAAGTTTATGTATCTAATATCACTTATTAGTTTTGGACTTTAAGATGAAGGGGAAGAAAATAAAAAAAAATAAAGTAAAACGTTGTTTTAGAATTAGATGGGATATCTAAAGAATATTAAAAAATATATATATTTTTAAGAGAAAGATAATATATTTTAAGATTTTATTTGTGCATAAGGAAGCTAATGTTATGTGAAAAAAAATAGTCAGTGATATTAAGAATATTGCAAAAGATATGCTTAGAGTATCAAAAGAAAAAATTCATAATAATAAAAAAAGTTGGTGATGAAATCAAAATTTTCCGCTGGTTGTCGACTACCTAACGCAACACTTCACTTTTCTCATTCAGGACTTGGGACAAAGGATTGATGTTATTGTTGTTGTATAAAATCAAAATGTGCAAGAAAATAAAAAAAATAAGAAGATTTATTATAAAAATTGATTTAAATATAAAATTATGATAATTGGGAAATATATAAAGAGGCTCGTAAGGAGTCTAAGAAAATAACATGTGACATAAAAATTTTAGTTTTTAATGATTTATATAATAGATTAGATACTAAAGATAGCGAAAGATTTTTTTTTTTTTTTGAAAGGATAGCAAAAGATATATATAAGTTAGTCAAACAAAGAGATGGTAGTAGTAAGGATTTAGTTCAAGTGAAGTGTATTAAGGATGAAGATCAAAAATATTTAGAAGAGGATATTCAATAAAGGTAGATGAGATATTTTTCTAAACTTTTTAATGAAGATTATGAGAATTCGATTGACTTTAGTGACCTTAGCATCCTAAATGAAAATATTTTTTTTTTGTTTTTATCGGCGTATTAGTAAAACTAAAGTTAGAGAGCCTTTAATGAAAATGAAGTGCGAAAAAGTTGTTGGACCAGATGATAGTTTAATAGAGATGTAAAAATGCTTAGGAGACGAAGGAATTTCTTGGCTTACTAAACTTTTTAATATTATTTTGAAGACTAAAAAGATGCTAGATGAGTGGAGAATGAGTGTGTTGATTCCTATTTTTAAGAATAAAGTTGATGCACAAGATTATGCGAATTATAGAGGAATTAAGTTAATGTGTTATACTTTAAAAATATGAGAGAGAGTTATGGAGCATAGGTTAAGCATGATACTAATGTTTCTCAAAATCAATATGGATTCATGCTAGGTATGTTTACTATGGAAACTATACATTTATTGAGAGGTTTGATGGTATAGAGAGAATAAGGAAGATCTACATATGATATTTATTGATTTAGAGAAAGCATATGATAAAGTTCCAAGAGAAGTTTTATGGAGAGTTCTAGAAAAAAAAGGGGTTAATAATTCAACTCATTAAGGATATATATGTATGAGTTATTATTTGGGTTCAAACACAACGTGGTTTGACCAAGTATTTTCCTATTTCAGTTGGATTACATCAAGGATCAACCTTAAGCCCGTATCATTTTGCTTTAGTCATGGATGTTCTCACTAGACATTTACAAGATGTTGTACCCTAGTGTATGCTTTTTGCTGATGATATTTTTCTTGTTGATAAGACTAGAGAGGGAGTAAAGAGTTGAAGGTAAACTTGAATTATGGAGGTCAACCTTAAAGTCAGACCAAGGCTTTCATTTGAATAGATCTAATACTGAATATATGGTGTGTAATTTTAGTAATAATAGATCTAGTGAAGGGATTGTAATTTTGGGTGATCAAGTCATTAATAAGAGTACACATTTTAGATATCTTAGGTCTATTATTCAGATTGATGGTGAAATAGATGAGGATATTATTAGTAGAATTCAAACTAGATAGTTGAAGTGGAGAA